GAAATTTGCGATTCAAGTGAAGTGTGATGCTTGCTACTATATGTATATATTGGTTATTACTTATTTAATTTTACAAATTTTTTAATATTATTTTTTAATTTAATTTTCACTTTTAATTAATTTAATTACAAAAATTTTAGGTAAAAAAACCCACCTGATATATATGGCAAATTACTAGAAAAATGCACGATTCATACTTGTATTATTATACAAAGACATGACGATATTTTTATGTTATACAAAAAAGTGAGCTGACCAATTTTGATAGTAAATATTATTATTATTATCATTATTGTTATTATTATTTTGAAATTCCAAAAAAATTATTGTTTGTTTGCTTGTTAAAACATAAGGGGGCAAACAATAGATAGCGTCTCATCATTCTCGATATTTTCTTTGTTAAACTAATGTTTGCTAAGGTAGATTTTATGGTAGTAATGTTTGTCAAAGTAGATTCTAGAGCAGTAATTTTTTGTTATGTAATTTTAAAATGCTAATAAAAGAAGTCATATATTTGTGTGATATCAAAATCGAGTCATCTTTATTTATAGTAGCACAAATAAGTGTTTTAATAATTTGCCACATATATATGTATATACGAATATCATAACATATATCTTTGAAACCTTTTTTTTCTTTGTTCCATGCATGAAATGCAATTACAGTAGTGGGAACAAACTATACATTTCCCACGGGTTTTCAAATGTATGATAAACACGAGCTGCCAGGTGACAGACATCATTTTCTTAGTGCGGTATTTAGCGACGGTTTTGCAGCGTCTGCGGCAACATTTTAGCGACCTAACCCGCCACACAAACTTGAAAAGCGCTGCGAATGACCATGTAAAGACATGTAATCTGCAGGATGGCTTCTCACCTACTTAAATTATGAATTGTTTTTTTGAGTCTCACAACAAAATCTTCAAAAGAAAAAATTGCTAAATGCAATGTTTGAAGAAAAACAGAAACCTAATTAATTAATCAATTAATGGGGATTTGTGAGAATTTAGCGTAACGAACCATAAATGAGGATTAAAGAAAGAGAAGCTAAAGCTTGTTGCTTAACGGATTTGGCATCTGTTTATTAGGGTTTTGGGCTTCTTTCATCATCATCATTGTCACCTCTTTTAAACCAATATAAACATATATATATATATATATATATAAGAATATTACTGAACACATGCTGCACAATCAATGGTTGAGTGAGTTTCAAGCCATCTTAACATTCTCCCTTCCACCTTCATACTTGCATATTTTTATACCCCTGTTTATGCGGATGTTTAGATTTTGGTAAAGAATTATAAATTAAGTATTTACTCAATGCGTGTGTGTGTGTGTGTGTGTATATATATAGTTCATTTCCTCCAAAAGGAATTCTGAAACTGAAAAAATCTGATACTCATAATTATAAGAACCTTTTAGGTAGCTGCCTACAGGAGTCATCACTTGGTCAAAGGCCATTTCTAATACTGGCCTCTACGTACATGTGCTTATCCTTTCTTACGCTATATATATATATATATATACACACAAACACACACACACACACATAACATTTTAAAATTTCACTGACTTGAAATGCCAATGTCTTTTCTCATCTTTTTTTCACCTTTTAAAACATAAAATAAATTATGTGCTCAAAACATAGTGTGAGATAATACCTAAACTTGAATCGTTTAACCATTAATGGATGATAATACTATGTCATTTGAATTAATATGTAATTAACAAAACTAACTACAAAATAAAAACTTAATTATCATTAATTAATGAAATAATATTATTGATACACCAACCAAAAAACTTATCACCATTAATGCAAGAATTCAAATATATATATATATATATATATAGAAAAGACTCCCAGAAATTACAAGCTATATATAGGAGCATCTATTTTCACTTTAAAGAAAGTGAATTAAAAGGTACTTTTGTTGGTTGATATATATAAACATGTATATATATATATATATATAATTATTAAAGAAAAAGACACTTGAATTAAGCCGGGTTTCCTTATATAGATTTTGTTTGGAAAATTGAAGCGATACGTCAAAGGTTGAAGTGGGTAAGAACGCTAGAAAATGGGTAATTAACTTGAAAGGCGTACTAACGTTGCTTCATGCCTGCTACTTGATAGACACCCTTTACGTGCATGGTAAAGGAGGTTGAGTTAAGAGTACGTACTCCCACTAACCCATATATATATATATATATATATATATATATATATATATACATACATATACATCACCTCTCTCGCTATACTTGGGTCTTACCTCAATCGTCCCAGTTTTCTTAAATGTTTTCACTTTAATTTGAGCGTCCCTGCAACATATCTATATAAACGTGTATGCATGAATATATATTTGTGCATTAAGTAATTATTGATTGTTATATAAAAAAATATAAATTTCTGTAGTGTATTTCATGAAAAATTTATGGTTCGTCCTCTTCATTTCAATTGTTATATAAAAAAGTACTTGTACTCAATGTTTAATGAAATTAATTACATTATTACCCTAAATTCCTTCAAATAATTTAAATAGACAACACATTAATTTTATTTTAATATATATATATATAAAGTATTTTTATATTTAACTATTTTATATATAGATAATTATTGAATATATATTATTATATTAAACATAAACTAATTTAAAAAATTGAGGAA